TTTTGCATCAGGAATTGCAGTAGGTGGTGTACCAGGAGGGCCAGCAATATTTGCAGCAGGAGAATCAGCTGGAGAAGTAGCAGGAAGGGCAGCGGGAGGGGCAGCAGGAGGGGCAGCAGGAGGGGCAGCAGGAGGAGCAGCAGGGGGAGCAGCAGGAGGGGCAGCAGGTTAGGGCCGGTTCCCATGTGCTGAGCACCCAGCCACAGGAACAGGACCAGGAGTATGGGTCCTCACAGGAAGAGCACCTCGGGGAAGAGTCTGTCTGGTCAGCCAGCTCCTCACTCCTAGGGATGCCTGGCTGTGCCTCTGTAGGTGCTGGGACATCAACGCCAACGCATCCGTCTGGTGGGTCATCCGAGGGCCTGTGATCCTCTCCATCCTGGTGAGTGGCCCTCCTCCCCTGCGCTGGGCTTCAGGAAGAGAGACCGAACAGTGACTGGCCTGTAGGGACAGAGGAGACAGGGCTAGCCCCCCTCCCGCCCCTCTCCAGGTGCCAGAGGAATGAAGCTCAGAGCTGCCTGAGGTCAGCCTGCAGCAGGGCGGCTGGAAGGCCCCCGTAGAGAGTGGTGAGGGCAGTGGGGCCAGGGACAGGCGGAGGCGCAAGAGCTCCTATGACTCATCTTGCCCATGTGTAGGCGCTGCGATGCGGTGAGCAGAACTCCTTGCCCTAAACTGGCTGGCCCCATGGCGGCCTCAACTCCACCTTCACTGCTTTGGCTCTTCGGGTCTTGGTCACCTGGAAGCCTCCTCTTGTTAAACGGGAAGAATCGCTGAGCTGGGATTGAGAGGGAGGGGGCGGGTTGTGGCTGGGAGGCTGTGGGCCTGGGCACTCGTCTTAACTCTAAGGTGCTTCTGCTGAGCCTATGGATGTGGACAGGAATACGGGACAGAGGAAGGGATTCATGGGGGGATGCACTGGGGTTTTCTTGTGACTGAATCAGCCCCTCAGCTGTGCACAGGGCTCAGAGGGAGGCCAAGGCTGCAGGACCAGCTGATAGAAAGTGCCTCCCGCGGCCTCGCTGGAGCGGGGAGAGGGCGAAGGACATGCAGGAGCCCACTCCTCTCCCGCCGGCTACTGGGCGGCCTCCGGGGCAGTGGGAGGAGGTGGCCATCCCATGGCTTTCTTCTCTTTTTTTGGAAAATGATAGAATGTGTATTTAAAGAAATAGGAAGACACAAAATACATTTTTTAAAAGGGAATGAAATCACCCATAAATCACCATTTAGCATCTAGAATGATACACATTATGAATACACATGCTTTTTCTTATCTTTTTTACATTTTTATTGATTGATTGTTTTTAGAGAGGAAGAGAGACAGAGAGAGAGCCATCAATTTGTTGCCCCACTTATTTTTTTTAAATATATTTTTATTTATTTCAGAGAGGAAGGGAGAGGGAGAGAGAGATAGAAACATCAATGATGAGAGAGAATCATTGATTGACTGCCTCCTGCACACACCCTACTGGGGCTCGAGCCCGCAATCCGGGCATGTGCCCTTTGACCAGAATCAAACTTCAGTCTGCAGGCTGATGCTCTATCCACTGAGCAAACCGGCTAGGGCTGCCCCATTTATTGATGCATTCATTGG